ACTGAATTTATATAGTACACGAGTTTCACTATTGGAGTTGAATTACTGAAATAAATGGACTTTCCCACGATATTCTAATTTATTGAGATGCACCTGTAGAGTTTGATGCTGGAGCAGTAGTAGTGGAGATGAATCGGTTAAATAGCAGCACACGTACATATATGTGCACATCTTATTGAACATCCAGTCTAACGGCCGAACGAGTCGTCATGCTTGGTGTTGTGGTTTTCTCTGCCTTTCCTCTCATAGATGTCCACCCCTGCATCAGCACCCCGACCACCAGAAATCTCCTCCTTCCTCAGCTTCCCCTCCCCAGACAAACTGCTAAAACTGGGCGCCAAGAGAGCGTTGCTGGTCGAGCAGCAGGTAAACACGTGGTGACTCCACTGATACATGCGCACCACATCACGTTCTCATCACATTTGAGATGTACTAAAGGCTAAAGAAATGTCTCGGTTAAGGGCATTTCAGCTTACGAGTTACAATAAGATGTATCCTGAGTGTTTCCCCAATGCAAACGGCAGGTAACGCAGTGAGTCTGCCTTCCTGTCTCTGTCCAGGTGGATGTGTCGGATGCTAAACAAACAGCCGAAGCCTTTCTCAAGATTGCATCTGTGTACAAGGAGGAGAACAACGATGTGAAGAATGCAGTGTTAGAATGTGTTGGTAAGACGTTGCATATTAATTTGCCTTTCGACAGTTTGTTGCTATTTTGTTTTGAGGTGTTTGGTTTCTCCTTTTTTTGGTTTATTGCTCACCCTGTCTCATCTGGTGGTTAATTACAATGAGTTTAAACAAACCCAGAATATTATTCAGTGCCTTTTACACTGAAGGAAAATGACAATTTGGACATGTGCTTTCTTGGCAGGGGTTTCATAAGAAGACTGATCCCAGTCTGTGCTGTCGCTGCAGTAAATATTGTATGTAGCTGCAGTCAGCAACCTGTTACTTTAGCACAGAGACAGCGAAACAGCTGGCCTGGCTTTGTTCGTAGGTAAAAACCAGCTTGCTAACATGTTATATATTTTGTGTTGAATTCATACAAAAGGCAAATTTTTAAAAAGATAATTCACCATTTTACAATGAGATATTTGTCAGGCTGTTAATTATTGAGGTTTAAAGGTGCTGGTCGGTGGGTTTTGTTACTGTTGGACAGATCCAGCCAGGCTGCTTATCCCTGTTTCCACTTTTTATGCTAGGCTAAGCCTAAACAGCTGCAGAAGATAAGAGCGGTATCGATCGTCGCATCTCATGCTTCTCAAGAAAGCTTCCTGTAGTGTTGAACTACTCTTTTATTTCTGTTCATAAAGAGATTTCTTCCTATTTCCTGTTGCTCTCTGCTTGACCATCAACTGCACCGATGTGCTGAGAAATGCTGCTCAGACTGTTTTACACATTATTGGTTAAAATGTTTTTGGTGGATTAAGAGTCTTTGCAAACAGGACATGTCTTCTTTTTTGGGGACAGTTTTAAAATCTAAGTATGTAATGATTTTTTTTTTCCTCCTTCCAGATGCCATTCTGAAGAAAGCTTTTGACACGCCTTCCTTCCAAAGCTACAACTTTGTATCATGTTTGTTAGTGCTGCTCGGACTCATCAAGGTGTGTTTAGCGTGCACCTACTCAGCAGAGCCCACTGACCTACAGAAATATCCTTCTTCACTGTCACTTCATGATGTCTTTTGTTTCTTTTACCTTTCTCTTCCATTGTTTTTAACATTGTGTCCTGTCCTCGGGGCTGCTCAGAGTGAGGACAAGGTGAAGCCTGTGCTCGTGGTCCCCGGCTACCTCCATGCCTTGGAGCATGTTGTTCAACAGGACTACTTCCCCAAAGAGAACGTGGCCGTGTTGGAGGCCTTCATGTCCCGGTAAGGATGTGACAGAATGAGCCAATCAGCAGGCTGCTTTGCAGGTACAGAATACTGTGATTACCATCCCATCTTCTGGAGTGGAGCACATACATGGACGTTTTTGCACTGTGGTGGTCACGCACTGGTGATTGCTTCTTTTTGTGTTGGAATGGGATTATTAACTTCTAGTTCACCGCTTCATTTTAATGGGCACATTTAGAAATTCTGCCCCGATTGTCTTAAATTCAGGCAAAGGACTTTGGTCAGTTACACTGAGCAGCTTCTTTGCCAGAAATACAACACATTAACAACTGGTGTATCTGTCCACGGTGCAGCTAAATGAACAATATTTTTAAAAAAGAAGCCGGTGAATAATTTTGCCATCTCCTCGAGTGCCTTACAGTTAAGATGACCAAACATTTCATTGTGTGAATGCTGTTAATGTGAAGCAGCAGCAATAGGAAATGTTTGGTGGCTTGGCCTGTTCTTGTTGTTCTTTCTTCTCATTGTCAACAAAACCAGCACAAAGACCTGAACCTAGACTGTTGAACCAAAGGTGCATCTTTTGTGACTCTGCTCTGACTGGACACATTCATTCTTTAAAAACAGCTCACAAACATCTAATTTCCTAACACAGACTCTTTTAGCCACAGACAGAAGTAAATAGCACCTGTGCTGGTGTTTTCACTCCGGTGGAGTGTTTAGAGCAGCAGCATTAACCTGTGGTCATCGAAACAAAGCAACATGTGCCGTGCTGTGACTCATTGATTTGACAACACTGGAGGAATAAGTTAATCATGTTTTCAGTGCACAGACAATGCCTGTGAGTAAATGAACCAACTCCTTGGTTCTAGTGTTTCATGGGATTTGTTGACAAAAAAAGGAAAAATACCAAAATATCACCGGACCAACCATTTAAAAAAAAAAAAGACTGAGTTAGTGAATAAATCATTAATTTGAGGGTGTGTGTCCATAGACCTTCTAAGCGTGTGTGTTTATCATCCACAGAGGCAGTAAATCTCTGGAGTCATGTGGAAATGCCAGAAGCAGACTCCAGTCGACACTGCGGAGAGTCCGAGCTGAGAGCTGAGGACTGTGGACACACACACACACACACACACACACACACACACTCGCGCAAACTGAACTCCAAATCTGAAGCAAACAAAGCAGAGCAGCTCTTGAGAAGCAGCTCTTGAGAAGACACACTCAAACGCACCTCACTGTCCTCGCTGTCCTCCTCCAGTTCAACAACACCCTTCTTCTGGACTTGAATGTTTTGTTTTTGAAGTAGACCGTTCTTGTGAGGTGGAACTAATCGAAGTGTGCGCTCATATATCCACGGGACCGCACTGACAACTCCACGCTCCTTGTTTTGTGCTGGATCAGAAAAGCCCTCACTCTGCACTTGTAGTCGGTCGGAGTAACTTTGGTGCAAACTGGAAAAGTTCTGACCAGGACCGAACTGAACTCGAAGCTGTTTTCTACTTCATATGTTCATTTTCTGTTCTGTTGTTTTATACTAAATGTTTATTATAAAATATGGTCAAATGACAATGTTAGATATGTATTGAATGATAAAGTTTATCTGTTATAAGACTGTAAAGTACAATCAAACAGTCACAAGGGAAAAAAATCATTTTAAATGTTAATTTCTGCCTTTAAAGACAAATTGCAGAGTTTTTGGACTGGTGTTGCAACAATAAAGCTGATTTGGGTGTTGGATGTCTTTCACAATCTTTTCATGAAGCTTTTATTTTGAAATAAAAGTTTTGAAATGGTAATGTAACAAAAACATACAGGTACATGAAAAGTGAGCAGCAACAGCTCCTATGAGCTCTTATGTTGTCAGTGCCACAACAATAAGGTTCATCTGTATATGTGTGTGTTTCAGCCTCTAACTGGGTAGAAAATGTGAAGCCAGGGTGTTAATTTGCAGTGAGGGGTGCAGGGGTCAGGGGTCACTGCAGAAGAATTTACCAAAGCCTTGTTTGTTGGCCTGCTGCACCCCGGACTGTAAGAGATGGACCAACACAGAGTGAAGTAAGTCTGTCTGATAACTGTAGCCTGAACTGGCAGATGCACGCCATTATCTGCTTTCATTTCATGTTTCCCAACAAGCTGTGACTGATATTCTGCTTGAAGGTAAGCTGGTATTCTTCCACTGAGATTTGGTTTAAGATCTGTGCTTAGTTTAGATTTTGGATCTTTATTGAAATGATTTTTACCTGATGAGGTGACGTTTGTGGTTGTAGCGCAGATTTAACATACTGACACTCAACAGTTGTGTTTTTATTTATTGTTTCAATCCCAAAATGTTTTAGAAATAAAACTGTGCATAAATAATGTTCAGATATAGTGGCAGGAAAAACTAAGTGAACCCCATAAAGGTAACTGTATTTATGCCTTGTATTAAAATTCGGTCAGAGATTCGTCTCAGTTACATTTGGTTGGTTAGAGCCATCGGTTGAGTTGGTGCCGCAGATGGCTGCCTCGCTTCTGTACCGGAAGTAAATTCCTGGTGTGTAACATACTTGGCCAAATAAAGGTGGTTATTATTATTATTATTATTCTGAGCAAACACTGTTTTAACTGATGACAAATCAATGCATTGCATGACAGATTTGGAGGGAATTTTAAATACAACAAGCAGGCTGTTTGGTTCTCTGAGCATCCCCAACTGCTTGTTTATACACCAAACCTAGAGTTTTGACAGCAGATTTTACTTGAATAATTTCATATTTCTAACACATTTTACAGGCACAGATGCATTTCCTTAATTCTGCAGTCGTCCTGCTGGTTGTAGCACTAGGTTTACATGTGGAAGCAGGCAGATGTCCCAGAGTATGCGGCTGTGATGGCACCAAACTTGCAGTCACCTGTGTTGGGAAGAACTTAACCGAGGTTCCCCCAACTATAGATGAGGTGAGGAATTCAAATGTAAAGTGTAGCGCCTCCTGTGTACTTCACGCTGCTGTCTGAGGAAGGAGCTGCTTCTTCTTCATCTATGTAGTGTGACTCAGGAACTTTGCTCAGTGTCGGTACAGCAGTAGTGAATGTATTGTCCTCATCGGCTGCACAGATACGATTCCACCCAGAAGCCTCCTGATGTCACTCCTGTCCTTTAATCACGCTTCACTTCTTACATCCTGTGCTCTGTTTAATCGCTCTCTTAGATTACAGTGAAACTGGACCTGAGGAATAACAACCTGCAGGTGCTGCCCAGGGGTGCGTTTGTACTCACGCCCTACCTCACCCACCTCAACCTGCAGCGCTGCAACATCATCAAGGTGCTGGAGGGTGCGTTCCAGACCCTGGGCCGTGTGGTCTCCCTAAACTTGGCCTATAACAAAATTGACATCCTTTACCAGGTAAGATGAATGGACAACACTCTTGATATTTTCACATTTTCTCCAAAAGCGGCACCATTGTTCTGTGATATGAAGAGACATGAGGTTTTCTTATTTTCTAATTCCCTCCCTCTCTCTACTCTGTGACCTGACTGTTGCAGGAGGCCTTTGACGGCCTCTCCTCCCTGAAGGAGCTGCATCTGGACCATAACCGTGTGGAGGAGATTCAACCTGGAGCCTTCTCACAGCTCGGCTTCCTCAACATGCTGGCTCTCAACCACAACCAGCTGGTTTACCTCCCCAACATGGCCTTCCAGGTGTTCACAAATGCACACACACACACACACAAAGCTGTTGCATACTCTATACTTGCTCTGTAGGTAATGCTTATCCCACACTCCTCTTCCAGGGCCTGACTAACATCAAGTGGCTTCGCCTTAGCCATAACTCTCTGAACAACTTGGCCCCTGAGTCGTTTGCTGGACTGTTCACGCTGCGCCGCCTCAGCCTGGACCACAATGAGCTGCAGTCCTTCCCCACTCAGACCATGACCAGGTTGGACAATCAGAAGCATTATCATAGGCTTTAAACAAGTGGTATTTAATGGAAAACAATGCTTCATACTTTTTAGCACCATGACTATAGGAGCAAATGTCTCAGTGTTTTGCTGACCTGACTGTACCATCACTGAAAGTACTGACAAGTATGAGAAATAAGAATGCTGCTGTTGTCATTATGGTTCTCTATGAGTGCTACAGACAGAAACATGCTAACTTCCCACTCCCCTGAACTGGAAGTTTGAGGACAGAGGATGTTGCATGTTGTACAGATTGTAAAGCCCCTTGAGCCAATTTTTGATTTTGGACTAAATAGGTAGGATTTACAATATCTTATTATAAATAAAAACTATATTGCTATCCAGTGCCAATGACCTATGGGCCCTAATTGACATGACATGGACCTCTGAGTAGCCCAGAAATTATTTAGCTTTTTTTTATTTTTAACAAATGAAAGTATGTTAGTGACCTATTTGTAAAATGCTGCAGATGCATAACCTAAAATGTGAATGTTGTCAACTTCATCCTTATAAGGCTTCGGTCAGATCAATTTAAGATGTGTTTTACTGCATTTAAAAACAAAATTACAATTAA